TCCTTTCCGCAGAGATTTCTCATATTGAGTTACAACTTGAGGAGCGGTCTGCATGAGTTCCTCTCTGGTAAACCATCGGTCCTCCTTGGGATCAGTGTGATGCCGAAACCGAACTCGATACTGCAGCTTCGGTTTAGGAGGACGTCCTCTGCCTGTTGGTCTTGGAACTGGCAGTTCTCTGTGGTCCATGATGTCGTCAATGTCCACCTCTCCGTCCATGGTTGGGGGCAGCATTGAGCGACGAGAAGGAAACTGGTCGGTTTCTTTAAAAGGTGCAAACTTGGAGGCGTGAAAGACGGGATAAGTACGGAGGTGACCAGGGACCCGGATTACATAGGAAGGCCCATCCGGATCAGTCCCAACAATATCTAAGACCTCCCATGGTCTAAAGTACTGAGGCATGAGCTTGCGGGATATCCCGTGTTCGTGTCCCAGTTCTGAGGACTTAACCCAAACTCTGTCCCCTACCTGAAATGTAGACAGTCGGCGGTGTTTGTTTTTGGACTCTATCATTGCCGCCTGCGCCTTCTGCATTTGTTCCACTACCTGCTGCATCTTCTGTTCATATCGATAAGCGAATTCTAACGTACCCGGTGCAGCAGTCGGCTGGTTCTCAGGTGATAGAAAATCTAGGGGCAGTCTAGGTTTGAAAGTCAATAGTAGGCTGTTAGGGCTGACACCGGTAGCATTGTGCACAACGTTGTTATCCAGACTAGTGATGAGAGCAAGCTTCTCATCCCAGTCTACCTGATTGGGCTTGATGTAATGCTGCAACAGGTGTTGGACAACGCGGTTCAGTTGCTCGGCTTGGCCATTGGCCTCTGGGTGATTCCCAGAAGTCATCTGCAACTGCGTTCCCTGTTCGGCAGTGGCAGCCTTCCACAACTCACTGGTGAATCTGACATCCCTGTCACTCACAATTGTCTTAGGCAAACCAAAATCCCGGACCTAGTTCTCTTTAAACAATCTGATTACGTACTCGGTCTTCGCTGTCTCCGGCATGGCAATTAACCTAGCGTACTTACTAAATCTATCCATGATAACGAAAATGTGTCTCATTCCGCTCTTGCTTATAACCAGTGTGTCCATGAAGTCCATGGACAGGCTCTCACTAGACCTTTCCGGAATCGGAAGAGGCTTGAGGAGCCCAAGAGGGGCCTGTGTACGGGGCTTGTCTCTCTGACAGACCTGACAAGTCTCCACGTACGCTTGGTATCTCTCATCATCGTGGGCCACCAGAACGCTGCAACAGATTGGCTGCAGTCTTCTTAAACCACCACTACCTTTCACAGGCAAACGCAAAGTCCATCTAGTAGCCTACTCCTGAAACCACGGGGCTCAGGGCAGGGTTGGAGGTCGACGAAAAAAATAGAAAAAAAAGAAAGAAAACGAAGAGTCCCCACTCCAGGGATGTCGGGAAAGGCCCTCACGAGGGTGGAAGTTATACCAGTGCTTGGACGAATGTATCTGGCCACTATGTCGAAAAAGGGATTGCGGGTCGTTTTTCTTTTTCTTTTTGTTTTGAAATCCTTGTAGTGCCCTGCCAGCCAGGCAGGGCGTGTTTCACGGGTGACACGTAATTGTCTCACTGCTGTAGCATCATGTATCTGCCCTCAATCACAGGAAAAGGGATTCCTTTTTTTTTTGTTGCTTCTCTGTTTTTTCCCGTACACGCCCTCACTGAGGGCACAGTCACACAAGCACCTGATAGAATGTATGTGGTGGTTATCAAGGCGTTCGGGAAGTCTCTTTTTTTTTTTTCTTTTTCTTTTTTTTCCCCTTCTTCTTTCTTCGATGAAACTGCCCCAGCTCGGCCAAACTCGGTGCGCAGTGAAAATCAGGGTCGGCAAAAACAGGTTCGGAGGTAGTGGTGGTTTAAAGCCAAAATGTCCGGTGGCATCATGGCACTCGCCTAGAAACAAACTACGCAAAGACTCTCTATTAGGCACACACAAACGTTTATTCCCTTCCTTCTCAAGGAACAGCAGGCCATTGACCAACTCAAACTCGACAGAAGTGATTTTATCCTTCGCCTCGAGTCTGCGAATGATCTCAGACATAAATTGATTGTTGCATACTCGTGAAACACAGTCATAAGTATGGCGCAGATTCCCAGAACCGGCCAGATAATACAGAGTTAATACAAATGCAAGCGGAAGACTTGAGATACCTTGGACTGACTCGGACCTGACTCGGACTGCAATCGAAACACTCTCAAACATTCATCAGGGTGTAAAGGCCCTGGCCTCAGACACAGACGAAAGGCCAGGGACTGAGATCATTCACGGACGAAGGGAGAGAGGGGAGGGACGAAGGGAGAGAGGGGAGAGACGAAGGGAGGACGAGAGGGGAGATGACGTCTATCTCGAAATGTCAGAAGTGACGAAAATCCGAAATGTCGCGAATGCCAAGTCTCATAATATCTCAGATATCGATCTCACAATGTCAAGTACATCTCCAGAGAAAGATGAAATCAGATCCCACCCGTAGTCCTCAACCTAGAGTCCCAATGTCGCTGTCTCAGATGTCATCAGAATTTGTAATCATTCTTCATACTGGTAGTAGTCCCGTAGGAGAAACTCAGAAGTAGACTTAGACTGAGAAGGTAGGAGGAGAGAGAGAGAGAGAGAGAGAGAGAGAGAGAGAGAGAGAGAGAGAGAGAGCTGGGGGGCGGAGGAACAGAGGGAGAGAAGGCAGAGCCTTCCTCCTGGTACTCGACTGGTAGCTATGGCGCGGCAAGGGCCGTTGCATTGTTCCTCTCGCTGTTACGTTCGTCGTCTCCTGGCTGCTCTCGCTAACGCTGCTGCGCTGCGCTAATCTCCTTAACGCTGCAAAGCTGCGCTAATCCCTGAAGACTAACTCTAGTCCATACTAACTCTAACCTACTGAGGCTGGTACCCAGCCTTTTGTAGTGCGTGGCCGGCCTCCTACCCGTTGGTACCTACCGGCCTGGACCGTTGATCTGAATTGACGGTGCAGATTCAAACTGGACTTGGTGCCTAAATGTGGCAGCCTCTGCAGCGCCGCCGGTAGGTCCTATGCTGGACCGGTATCGGCCTTGTGGCCGCTTGGCCTGAGCCTCTACCCTAGGCCTGCCTGAACCGCCATGGTCCAAGCCCATCTGGGCCTCATCTGAACCGTCGTCCCTTAGGCCTACCCTGCATGTCTGGAACCGGGCCCTAACTGGGGCCCGTGTGGCTTAGAATGCCACATTGATCCTCGCGATAGGCTTCCACCAAAGAGTGAGTAACATCGTCCGCAAGCCCAAACTCAGTGATCAGCGCACCAGAGAAATCTGGTCTATGCGACAGCGCATCAACAACCTTGTTATACTCGCCCTTGATGTACTGGGGCTCGAACTCATACTGCTCTATGACTTCAATCCAATGCTTCAGAGCGTCGGAGAGCACAGGTTGGGTTCTCATCCATTTCAAGGTCCGGTGATCAGTCCTGACGTAGAAAAACCTCCCAAGGAGATAGTGCCTCCAATGGGTGAGCGCCTTGTAGATCGCATAGAGTTCTTTCTCATAGGTGGACTTAGCCAACTTCTGAGAGGGCATCTTTTTGGACATGTACTCTACCGGCCTCAACTTTTTCCCCTCCTGCTGTGCAAGTACGGCGCCTATGGCATATTGGCTAGCATCCGTAGTTACTATAAATGGCTTGTCAGGATCAGGAAGTTTCAAGACCTCATGATGCGTCAACGCATGCTTCAGATGTCTAAAAGCAGCCTCGCATCTGTCTGTCCACTCCCATGGGGTGTCAAGGCGAGCCAGGTCAATCAAAGGGGCGGCAACTATGCTATAGTTCTTCACGAAATTGCGATAGTGGTTGGTCATCCCTAAGACAGACCTCATCTCAGTCACAGACTGAGGACGCGGCTAGTCATGAATGTTGGCCATCTTCGCGTCATCGGGCTTGAATCCCTCCGCGGAAATCTCATGACCCAAGTACAAGACACGGTTGCGCCCAAACTCGCACTTCTCACCATTGAGCTTGAACTTGTGTTGTCCCAGAAGACTAAGGACTTTGTCCAAGTGCGCAACGTGCTCCTCGACAGTCTTACTAAACATAATTATGTCATCGAGGTACAGGATGACAAACTTATCCAAGTAGTCATGAAATATCCGATTCATAGCGTGTTGAAAGGTGCCAGGAGCATTGCAAAGGCCGAACGGGATCACCACAAACTCGTACAGACCGTACCTGGTCTGAAAAGCAGTTTTGTATTGATCCTCGGGCCGGATTGCAATCTGATGGTACCCGGAATTCAGATCTATCTTACTGAAGTACCACACCCTTGCACTCTATCTAGCAAGTCATCGATGCGCGGTAGGGGCTCTTTGTTCTTGACAGTGATGGCATTGAGGCCCCTAAAGCCAATGCACATCCTAAGTGTTCCTTCCTTCTTCTTGGGTACAAATAGGACTGGAGACACATAAGGAGAAACACTCGGCCGGATCCAACCCTTTTCTACGAGTTCCTTGAGTTGCCGGCGAAGCTCATCAAGCTCGCCTGGAGACATCCGATAGATCCTTCCCTTTGGAATGCTAGACCCTGGGATAATCTCTATCGCGTGGACGACCTCCTTCTCAACAACCCCTGTCGGCTCTTCAAATACATCAGGGTATTTAGCAACTACTCCCTCTATCTCCGGCGGCATTTTCACCGGCTCGCCTGCAGCAGAGACATAAACTAGATACATACCCTCCTCCTGATTTTGCTTATAGTAATTATAGAACGCGGCCGCACACATGCATCCATAGGACTTGATCAGACTACTAGCTTTGAACTTACGTAATCTGGCGGTCCCTGCACCTAGCAAAGTGTGTTTGACCACTTTTCGGTCCCAGTCAAACTGGGGCTGTGCCACAAAGAGGTAGTACATACCTAACAAGATATCCATGGGGAGTTCATCGCTCACTAGGAACGAGACACGATGTCTCAGTTCCCCTCCCTCGTACGGGAAACAACACTCAACATCCTGGAGGTAGTCGTTGACTACCATGTGCTGTTTGTTGGCACAGGTCGACTCAGGCGCTGCACTTGCCCCTGTAAGCGCAGCCTCTCAACGCACGCGCGACTAATGAAGTTCTGTGTCGAGCAAGTGCCATAATAGGCCCCGGCCTTGAGGCCGCCAATGACCACCTCACTGACGAACTTCTCACCCTTCGGGGCTTTGACCAATGTCGTCCAAGAAGCTAGCGGGTCTGATCTAGATCACTCCTCCTCTAGCTCCTCTAAGGACTCAAACACATTCATCGAACAGAGGCTCGATGGATCTGAACGTGTTTGCGGGACGACAATGGAGTCAGTAGCCTGGGCCATCTCTCGAGATGGTGAGGGTGTGTCCACCACCTCGACCCTAGCAGGAACAACTACTATTCCTACTGCCCCGACGTGTTTCCCGGAGTGGTGCCAAAACTGCTAGCCACATTGCTGCCAACGGGAGCGGAGGATCCCAACGCCTGCCCCATCGTAGGCGGGATCTTTTCGGTCACCTTCTTATTTCGGCACTTGAATTGGTTATGGCCATATTGGCCACAACGGATACAAGCCTGTCGTGTGTACCGATCTCTCCACTCATCCTCAGTGAGACCCGCTTTCTCCCATGGAGGAGCATTGGGGTCAACTTGACTCCTTGACCGGGAACCTCCACGACGTCTACCGGTCGCCTTACCTTTATGTGCTACGACAGCGACTACTCCACCCCCTGAAGCCTCTACGCTGCCAGCCTTTGAACCTACTCCCGCCGGGAACTCGTCGTCGAACTCGATGGTAGAACCATCGTTGTCGACGAACATAATGCATCCCTTCGCCTTCCAGTTGGGAGGCAGTGACTTCTTCCTACCATCCGTCATGGGATTATGTCCATGCCCTATCTTTGCCTCAAGGTCTAGGGCCTTCTTGCTGAACGAGGGAAAGTTGTGCGTATTGATGTTGGCCTCACCTGCCAACCGATTCCTGAGAGGCATGGGAAAGCATCTCAGGTAGGAGGTGAGTAAGACTTGGGGGTCATAGCGCATCCCAGGGACACAGATCAGACGCTCCACAGCGTTAGTGGCCTCTCTTACTGAATTAAATTGCCTCGTGTGCAGTGCTAGGATCGCGTCAGTGGCCTTTTGGGCCTCCTAAGGATCGTGCCACCTATCTTCCACCATCTTGAGAAAGACCTCCAGTTTCTGGTGGGCTGCCCAAGCGCGGAAGTCGTGACCGTATCCCTGCAACTGCTACTAAACCACTCAACCATCTTGCTGCCCTACCCTCTAGGTAGGATGCAGCCACAAGCACTTGCTCGTGCAGCAAGGTAAGTTTGCACTTGACATAGACTAGCACTGCCCTCAACCAAGTGTCGAGGTCTTCGCCCCTCTTATCCCCTGTAAAGGGTTTCGGAGCGGCGATGGCCGTCTTCGGTACCCACTGACTTTGTCCCGATCCCTAAATCACTCCGGGTTGTGGAGCCTGTGATACAGGCTGCTGCACTAACTGCTGGGGTTGTGTACCGTGCGGCTGTACATGCTGCGAGACAGCAGGCTGCACGCTTACGGCAACCTGCGACGGAGGTTGGGTAAACGCTGTTTGTACAGGAACCTGTAAACTAGGACCTGCTAAGAGCCCTCCTGCTAACGACATACCCAGGGAAACGGTCTGGACGGATGCTGGAGCTATATATGGGGATACCCCAGTCACCGGTGGGACAAAAGGAGGAGGATGTACAACGGGCCAGGCACCGGGCCGGGACGATGATGGTGCCGCCTGCATTCGCCCGACTAACACAGCCAGACTCTAATGGATGTCCTGTAAGATCTCCATTTGGTGATCTTGCATCTCTACAACACTTAACAAGACCGACCGTATGGTCCTCACATCATCCTCCATCTCTGTTGGGTCCATTTCCTCTAACTCACTAATGCCCGCTTGCCTTCGCTGCATCCTGGCTCTTCTTCTAGTCAGTCTCTCTTTCTCTGCCTGAATCTCACCCAAAGCCTGTTGTAGCTGTGCCTCACAATTAGCAGCTCGCTGTATGGCAACCTCCTCGGGAGTCATCACTAAGGGTTGGCTTGCCATTAAGCCACTGGATTGACTCAAGGTCTGCTCGACCGTTGACCCTACAGATCCTGAACTACCAGCCTGAGAAGTCTGCTGCGTAGCAGTGGCCATGACGACTGAAGTAGCAGCCTCACTTACGAATGCCCCGCTTTGCATCTGCGTAGCAGTGGCCATGACGACTGAAGTAGCAGCCTCACTTACGAATGCCCCGCTTTGCATCTGCGGCCCTAGCTCTGACGGAACAAGTATTTGTCGCCCTCTGGTCCTAATGCCAAATGGGCTATCGGGCGTCTAGCCGGATCGCAAGATCCGGTCGTCCTCACTAGTGGTGTCCCTATCGCTCATATGCTACTAAACTGCACACCGTCTGCACTAGGACACACAATGAATGCCTACCACAGCGACATGTACAGACCGATATAAATAATTGGCGGCTATATCATAGACTATACATTCGGGTCTAACGGGTAAGTTCAGATTCCTACAAATAAAACTATTTTTAGTTTTACTAGTTCTCGAACAGAATGCACAATGAACAAGAAACAATTTTAATATGTTGCCCGTCATATGTTAATGGTTGTACATCTAACTAATCAAGCATAAAAATAGAATCATTTGTGTGGATTGGGACAGTATGGAATTTTTCCCGAACTTATCACCTGAAATCTACCCCTCCCTCAGTTCCTCTTGAATGTGACTTGACGTCAGCGTCCCTGAGCCATCCAGAGAGTCGTGCGTGTCTAAAGGTGTGCAATCGGCCCACCCCTGTGCCCCGAGTCCTGCTGAGTTGGCCAACTCTAGCACATTGTTTATCCTCGCGTGCAGCGAGCCGTACACCGATTGGCTGATCAAGAGGCTAGTTAAGAACCGCCCCCAAATGTCCTCAGGAATTATTTAACGTCGCAAATAGGGCTGGCCTGCCCCTCAGAACCCATCTAACGGCGCAGCGAGCCGAACACAGGACAAGCAGCAAAGCATGCGTGCTCTACTCCCGATGGGTTGGCATGGTGACCGTGACCTAATGCTTCGTCCAGGGCCCTTCAGAAAGCTCCGCCCATCTTCCCCCAGATGCTCCACGTGAACATTGCTGACTCTCAAGGTTGAGCGCACTCGACTCCTCACAATGAGAGGACTCTCAAGACGGAACACACAACCTCACGGTAAGAAGTGTCGAAGAGGGTAGATAAGGTTAAGAGCAACGTACCTCAAATAGCTGCCCCCAACCATAGAGATAATCTCACCAGATGACCTGACGCCGATTGTGATGACCAGTCATTGCTTCGGCACAACCAGCATTACACGCCGTTCCACCTCAGCACCAATCGCACATCAGATGGTTCTCATCACACTGTCCATAACCCAAATTACACCGCATAGCCTTCCTGGCGAACTCCTCTCCACCTGGGTCGCTTGTTCTTGCCTTCGCCCTCTTCACTACACACGTCCCACGGCACGGTCGCTCACCACACACACCGCGTGCCTGTACCGCATTAGGCAGACGACAAGCGCCAGATTAGCGCACCGTACCACAACTCCGATACCAAATTGCAAGGAAGATGAGCAATAACGAACTTCAGCAATCAAACAGCATCATACATATAAGACCAGATAGTCGTGACCTCGAACCAAGAGCAGAATTACATCACGAGTTTCACCAAGTAAGAGCACACCAAAAGCTCATAATTGATAATGCTGGAATAGTCTCATCATCATCATCAACGAAGAACCAATGTTGATATCCTATCTGGCGCTCGGCGCCCAGACTATAGATGGCAGATCCTATCTAGCCTACTCTACAATGTCGCTGATGACGTCAACAGCTCCCCGAAGTACGAGCAGATCTCGGCCAATGCCGCACGCTTCAAGCACCAGGTATGTCTCTCGTATCACTCACAAC